CTCAGTCGAGCACGCCCCAAAACTATCCGCCTCCTCCCCAGTCGCCCGGACATGGCGCGAGCTATCCTCCTCCTCCGCAGGCATCGCCGAGTCAGGGGAGGACGTACCCGCCTCCTCCCCAAGGCACCACGACGCCCTCGCAGAATGAGGCGCAATACCCGCCACCTCCCGGTCTTTCCCAGCAGCAACAGCAGTATCAATCACCCCCTCAGCAGTCGCCGCAGCCCTCTCCTCAGCACCAGCAGCACCAACAGACGCAGCTTCCCCTACGGCAACCAGGCACCCCCGACTCCCAGCCTCAGTTCTCCCCTCCGCCTCCCGCCTTCGACGGACCGCCCGAGGCCTCCAGCCTGCCAGAGAAGCAGCACGTGGAGGAAGCACCAGTCGACACGAGCAACCCGTCCAACCTCGTGGGAGGCGCGCCCCCGCCCCAGCACTTCATCGGCGCCACCGCGACCGTCGACGATGTCGGCACCTTCAACGGAGGCAGCTACCGCATCAGCCACCGCGACAGCAACACCATCCTGACCGTCCAGCTCGCCATGGGGTGCCCACTGCAAGCGAAGCCCGGTGTCATGGTCGCCATGTCGCATTCCATCACACTCAGGGGCCAGATCAAGTTTAGCATGAAGAAGCTCGTGGCCGGCGCTGAGCTGGCGAGCTCGACCTACGTGGGACCCGGCGAGCTTCTCCTGGCGCCGCCTATGCTTGGTGATATCACTAGTCTGCGTCTCACGGGCAAGGAGACGTGGTCGGTTGGCCAAGACGCCTGGCTCGCTTCTACGCAGGGCGTGATCAAGGACTACAAGCGCCAGGGCCTCAGCAAGGCTATTTTCAGTGGCGAGGGCTTGTATGTGTACAAGATTAGCGGTACCGGGCTGCTTTGGCTGACCAGTTTCGGTGCCATTATCCGCAAAGATGTAAGTGCCCTGGGTACGACCTTATAAGTGATGTGAGGGCTAAACTTTTATCCAGCTCATGGAAGGCGAAAAGTACGTTGTTGATAATGGTCACTTGGTGGCATGGAATGTGAAGTACATTATGGAACGTGTCGCATCCGGTGGTATCATCTCTGGTCTCTCCTCTGGCGAGGGCCTGGTGTGTAAATTTACCGGCCCAGGAACTGTCTTCATGCAGACGAGGAATGCGGTAGGTTTCTGTCAACTGAATGTGCTGTCGTCGAATTACGCTGACATTATGGACCACAGAAACATTTCAGTGCTTACTTGTCTGGACAAGCGAATCAAGGCATGTAATGCAATGGATGAAGCCAGGCTTGACGAATGTACTGGCCGATGTTTTGTTTGCATACCTTACTCTATCTGGGTTCATCACAAGTTGGCAATGTTTCCGAGTTTTCTACGACATCTAGCGTGTTAAAATTGATATCCTATCTCTCTTTATTGACGCGTGTTTTCTTCCGGCGTTCTTTCAACAATGGCCATGATGCAGTATGATATTAGACTTAACTAAGGCTTGCGAGAGTATTTCAACAACGATATCAATGTGATGGTGGTTCTTGACTTGGTTCTTGCCCGACTCACTTCAGATACCTGCAAACTGTGCATCTTCCACAATCACTATACGCTAGAGTGGTTGCTCTTGGTCAGGCCTTCCCGGCAGCGAGGACGAGAACATGCAGCCTGCTGTTTCCTCACGACGATCCCGATGTTCCCCTTTCTTTCCTCATCTGCCACCACACGGAGCAAATTCTCCGGGCAATGCGTCGACAAGCATATACGACCTCGGCGCGTTTGTTTCCCGCCAACATACCGCCAACATCTCCATCATTCGTCAACATCACACCCACCACCTCAGCTCTCCAATTTTGGACACATCATCGCAGACTTAAGAGCCTCAGCGCGTGTTTTTTACATCAGCGAAGATCTCTCTTCACCTCACTTTGGGTTCATTACGCCTGTCGTCATAGCCTCCTCTGACAATTCCGGCTCTATTGTCCTTCTTCGGCCTGGACTTTCGTCGAGAACACCGCTATTCCAATCCACCATTTTCGACACTTCCAGCCAACCTAGAGCATCTACTCTTTCGTATGCCTCAGTATTTCTTCTTCCTTTCGGGTTAGAATGTGTCACTAACAAACATGGCAGAGACATGGAGAAGGCAGAGGTGGCATTGGCCTCTGCCAATTGGCGTAGGCCGTTGCTTCCTCACGATCATAATAAACCACAACTCAGCATGCGTCGAAGACGAAGAACAAATTCGAGTGCTGAAACCGACTCCAACGACATAGCTGAGTCGGCTACCCACTGGCGGAAGCCCGTGGCGGGCGTTTCCCCCTTTCAAACCGCGACCGATCCCATATCCAGAGACAACAGTAATGCCTCAACAAAGGGAATGATCATGATCGGTCGCGCGAAGAAGTGTGCCGTGGTCAATGCCGTACCTGTTCCGAGTAGTCAGAGCAAGAACTCCTCCTAGAAGCAGGGTCCTGACTCCTTGGTCTTGGACGTTTTTATCCACGAATGCACCGACCTCAATTGCAAGGAACACAACGGCATGTTCAACAACGCAGAGATACGCAGCATTAGAAATGCGAATCGTTTCAAGTCGCACATGCAGAGCGATAGTCTTGTCGACTTCAATAAGCAGTTGGAGGATACCAGGATCACACCTCGGAAGTCTTCCATGGCAGATCTTCTACGCCCTTGCAAGCACGAAGAGAGCGACGACTTGGGCAACAAGAACCATTCTACAGACCTACGGAAAGATCAAATTTTTAGTGACTCGGCCGTCATTCACGACCCAGCCATTATTGACATTGGTTTCCGGGATACCAAGCCAACAGACAGCGGTTCCGAACACAACCAAGATGATCGCTTTCAGGGGCTTCTGCGAAAACTCCAGCGACCTTTGCAAGATGAACAGTCAAAATACCAGGTCACCAGAAATGGCGTTGCTCGCCCAAGACAAGTTTCCGAGGATTCTGGTATTGATACCAGAGGACCGGCCAAGGCTCGAACTCTTAACCCACTAGCAAGGGAATTTTCCACCTTCGCTCCTCAGACATCTTCAGTCACATCAGACAAGGCTGAAGAGAGGGACAGGAAAACCATCATTTCTCTTCTGGAGCAACTAGTAAGCCAAACCTCCAGCAAAGCTCCTGGACAAGATCCAAACGAGATTATTGCCAACACAATCGCAAAGTTTGGCATCCAAGGAACGCAGGCTTTTCCACCATTCAATTTCCCCCCCTCCGTGCCGAGACCAACATTGCATCCGTCACTTTTCCAACAAACTCCTCCAGTATCTCTTAGTCCAGCTTTTGGTCCACAGAACAATATTGTCAGACCTCCACTAGATTTTTCAACCCAAATGCCGGCCGCACCATTCGATCCATCTGCTCCAGGTTTTACACCATCATTTGCAAACAACTCAACCGCCCCCCCTCTGCTGCCCCTCAGGTCACCGTTCAAACCAACTCGGTCTATTCTACCCGAATCTTCTCATGGTTCCGATACAAGCCGCGTTGCTTCGGCCATTGGTTTTGTCCGACAGATGGCCAACAGTCCGGTAGTGCCTATTGTCGGGCCTTTGACAACTCCGTTTCCGACGACACAAGCACTGCTACCTCATCACGGGTCTTTATTGAACGCAAATGCTCCTGTGTTCGGTACTAGCATGGCGCCCAGATGCGCTGCCAAGCCCCGAGTCCCTGATACAGTCGGCCAGCAGAGTTACGAAGCATACATCGAGTGGCGCAAGGCAAACGAGCCCGGCTATGCTCTTGAATGCAAGGCGAGACAGGCCAAGAGGGCACTTCGGCCTATTCCTGGCTGATTCCAGGGGTGAGCTGTGGTCTAAGCCATCTCAAAGGGTTGGCCATGGGGATGGTTCGGGCAAATGGCATACATGGGCGGAAGGGGGAGATTCAAAATAGCTAGCGAAGGGCGGCTCTCTCAGATCAATTCTGGCCTGTATTTGTACGACGAGATATTTTCATATCAATCGTTGGAGGATGGCAAGGGTGTAGGTTTATACAATGGTAGGGACTTGAAGAGTAGGATTACGTTTTTTTGGGGGCCCTTTAATCATTCTGGAAGGGCTGGAATCGAGGATAGGGGAGGTTGAGCGAGGAAGAGAAGCTCACGAGTCAACTCGGATTGCTTGCATTCAATAAAATTGCGTTATGGCTCATACATTTGCTCATGAGGCGAGTTCTTTTTGCTGACTTTGGGAAGCAAAAAGTGAATGCCGGGAACCTCGACGGTTGCAAGGGCTGGTGTTCGAGCGAGCTGGATAGTCAAATCAGAAGCCTCTTATAGCCCACATGCCAGCATCGGGGAACCTCCCAACACAGCAGATGTAAGACTTTTTGAAGCAGGAATGACGTAAAAACATCGACATGCTTGCTAGAGAGCGTATAGATTAGAAATTCGACCATAGGATACTAAGGCGGGCTGTTGAAGATTATTACGTCAGCTCCACTGTGTTTCTAGCGGCGAGCCTGCAGTCAGACGTGACAATTACTCGCCGCAGCCTGGATTCACCCAGACTATCCCGTGCAGTGGCTCGATATGTAGGAGCGACTATACAAGAACTCTTCTTCCAAAAAACCAATCACGGACAGTGCGAAGGGTGAACATGCTTTAGAGGGCACGCCTTATTCTCAATGTTCACACCGGACGCCTCACTACCGCTCATGGAAATGATCGTCCAAATCCAACCGTCAAAACTGAAAAGATTTGAACGGCAGAAGCTATTTTTGCACCCGTGATCAACTAGCAATAGATCTCATTGAGGTTGCCGTTATCAACATTCCCGAAACCGGTTCTCTGGGTCAGGAAGGGGAAATAGTGGTGATGTGACATTAAGTTTTGAATGTCTTGTCTTTTGATCCAAACACAGGCCTTCAGTTTACCCCGAAAACCAAGAAGGTAGACCATTCAAATCCAATATAATACTTCGTGTGTGCTTTGTCTGATTTGGTATTCTATCCTTTCGGAAGTTCCATACCAACCCTCTTCGCCACACCTCTTCTGCTAGGTCCCTTTCCAGTATTTGGCATACTTTTCATAGACAGGATAGCCTTGCGCTTCCTGAATGGCGTACTCAAGTCTCTTGTCCTTGTTTCTGCCGGACTTGCTATAAGCATTTTGAACTGGTTATTTGTGAGCTCCAAGAGTCCGTTGATGACTTGAAGCAGATTCTCTCGATACTTGGATCTCTCGTACAAAAGGACGCCGTCAAGCAGAACGAACACTGTGTTGGATACTGGTATTTGACGAATCATTGCAGCAAAGAGGCTGATAAGGTAGGAGAGATTGTTCTGTGTCTCTCGGATGTCTTCAAGCGATATGCGTGGTTCTTGCATTTGAGTAAAGACCGCGGGGTGTTGTCGAACTAGCTGCGCTATCAGGCTGCGCATAAGACCGGTTGGTCCAGGATTACTATCTTGAGGCGTTTCGAGGTGCCGTCCGCAAAAGAACACCAGGCCGATATACTCGTGTCTGGTTCGTAGGATTTGCACGAAGGCGACGCATAGCGCTGATAGAGGCGAAATCTCGGGGTAGTCACCAAGGTCGTAGTCCCCATGGATCAAGAGAGCGCCGTCTCCGAGACTACTCCTCTCGTTACTGGTGACCCAATTGCGAAATTCCCGTGTCTCGACAACCTCCTCAGCGCGGCCACGATCTTCAGCTGAGAAGGCAGTGGCTCTGTCGAGAATAAAAGCCATGTCTTCTTCATCCGTTCTTGTACCGTCTAAAGATCGAACAAGTTCTTCGGGGGAAACGGCAACTTCTGGAGGAGAAATGACTCTTGGCTCAGGTGTCGGTGTCCTGGATTCAACCGAGAGTTCGGACCCTTCTTCGAAAGGAAGCAACAGTCTGGCTTTCGATGAGGTTTCTGTGATACCTTGAAAATGTTAGCTTCAATTCCATGTCGTATTCTCCTTGAGATTACTAGCTCACTATAGCTTCTCTGTGCTGAAAAGTCGACAGGGTATGACATCTCCGTAAGCAACGAGTCCATAGTACGAATAGCTACGAAAGAAAAATTCTTCTTCAAATTCTCCGTCAACTGATCAATCCTTTCATCCATCTTTGCCCATTCTGATCATCAGCAACGGCATCTAATCATTAGCCTGAGTGTGTACGTGATTGCCTTCATGTGATTGCGCGTACGTGTGTTTTCCTGGTATTTGTGGCTCTTATCGACCTCGGATTGAAGCCTGTCCCCTGCCTTTTGGATTTCATTAAGAGACTCGACAAAAGAATGGAGGTACTCGTCACCTTGAAAGATGGATCGACGCAGTCGTGAAACTGGATAAAGAACTGGTCAATTGTGACACATGCCTCCCGTACGTGCTGCTCATGCGAGCTGATTTTGCAGAATCTCAGGAATGATTCTCAAAACTATACATTAAAAACGGGAAACGGCTTTCAGCTTACCTTGCCAGCTAATATAGAACCCGATTGCTCCTTCTGCCGCTTTCAATATAGATACAACGAGATTAGCAGAGGCCTTGGCGATATTTTCATCGTTTCGAAAAAGGCTGGACCAGACTTCAAGGTCTTCAAACTTAGATGCTAGGGCATCTTCGTCGAAACTTGCATCTAGTTGTGTCCGAATCTTTGCGGCTTCTTTCCACGCCTGTGTGCACAGTCAGTCAGAAATGCCGCATTCTAACTCACAAAATCGAGATACAGAACAGACTCGAAGCACTTTAGAGTTAGTTTCCGCGTACCTTTAGCAATAAATCCAGGGTACCTAACACGGGAGTGGCAATGGGATGACTTGGAACAACCTTGATGACTTGCTGAAGAGGTGTCGCAACAGTCTCTCCAACCCGGCGACTAGATCTCTTGATTTTCCCAAGGACCTTATGATAGCACTTGTCGTCTGTTCTGATACCATTATACTTGTCGCGGGCTCTGTCAAGAGTGTTTGTGACATCTGCCCATTTTTCCGCCTCTCGGATACTGAACCCTTTATCCTCTCGGCCGGAGGCCTCAGGAGTCTCACGAAGACGGTCCATGGCTTTAGGCCAGATCAATCCCCAGAATGTCATATCTTCAATGCTAGGTGGCAGTGGACGAGCAGCTTGTTGGCTTGGGCGCGGGGAGAGCACCGCGGGGCATGCCAGATCCTTAGATTTAGCAGCTTGATCAGATGGAACGAAAGGCACCGTATGGTTGGAACTCGTGGGTGACGACCAACCCGAGCTGATTGCGACGAGCCGGTTGCCATTGCCATCATGAAATCTTTCCGGGTACTCGAAGGCTGGGTGGTATCGAGGCAATCTGTTGTCGATGAAGTCCACGACAGGTGTTTGCAAACGAATGGGGAGTGCGGATCCTCCAGGGCGACTTGTATCAGACATCTTCGAAGGAAGGTAGACTGAACTCTGAGGGAACACGAGGACTGCGAGGTCAAAGACCGGATGGTTAGAAGAGGTCCGACAGGTTCAATTGTTTCAAGAGACAAAGAAGGGTATCGGTTTCTGCGAAAAGACAAACACTTCCTAATTCTTCGATTCGGGAGACACTTTGGCGAGATCGAAAAGTTGCAGACCTGCCACTCCGATTCGGGTACTAATCCTCTGGATCATTTGTATGAGGTGACACCGGCGCACGTGGTCAAAACTCCTCAGGCGGCCTATGATGGATTGCCATGTATCTCGTGATTCCCCTCTTCATGCATTCCAAGTATCTACTGTGGGATTGTTACACCTACAAACTTGATTGACGGAAAGAACGTCGGCTACGGGTCTGCTCGCCTCCGCATGATAGCCTGCCTTATCTATGTGACACTAACACGCATACCCTCGGCGTGAAAAGCAGCCTCAGCGAATAGATCTCTGGGGGTGCCACAGCCTGCTTAACACCTCCAGATTGGAAATGCAGAATATCATCAGCCGATGGGCATTGTATGCTTACATAGGTTGCATCTGAATGGACGCAAGACAATCGGGATCAATATATTGAAACCAAGCCCTTGGCACCGAAGATAAAGCGCGTAGACTGTGTGATCATTGGCCTTGTTAGGAGTTTTCACCAGACCATTGGCAGGTTCCTCAGGCGAGAACCACCTGCATGAGACTGGCCGGCACATCGGCTGCAAAAATAGTGATGCCGCTTACCGTCGCTGTTACTAGATATCAACGTGACTATCATAAGCGAGATATTTCAGCTTTCTTTACCTATTATGTGCATATTTGAGGATCTTTTTCAAAGGTCTTTGCGGAGATTTTACGAAGATATAAAGTCCGTATCTGCTTTTCACCGATCTTGAATCTGTTCTGTGGCAAGCCTTCTGTAACTCGAATGTCTGAGCTTTCATCCCAGTACGTAGTCATTCATCATATTAATATTCTACACAGCTTTTGGATTTAGCCAAATTTTGTAAAGGATTATGACGGCGTTGCTGACTCTGGATGATAGGATTGGGCTGCTTGACTCGGAACTCATTTTGGCCATGGAGAACATTGCCCAGCAAACCCAACCCGATGACGTTCATCACGAGGCCAACGTCAATAAGAATGATACCACTTCTACGGCGGGCACCTTACATCCCTCTAGTGTCCGTGGAGACACTGCCGGCTTCGTTGGTGAGACTATTGCCAACACGGGAACCATCTTGGATGTCGACCAAGGGGTGCATGCCGGACTTGTCACAGTGTCAGCACGACAGTACCGAGACCTCATTTCAAAGATCTCCGAATTGGAGCAGAAGCTAGCCCAAGTCGACGATGTAGTTGACAAAGTGGTCGAGAAAAGGATATTCGCGGCCCCGTTAAACAAACGCTATGGCTTCGACGTTACAGGGTACGATGAAATCTTCGGTTCAAACAGCACCGCTATACAGCGAGATTTCTCTCGCATGATCATGCGCAGTTCTGAGGCCATTGAAGAACTCGGCTACGTGCTGGGGACATACAGGCGGTACTGGACGTCGCACCAAGTTCAGGGGGATAAGAATCAGGAAGACAAAGACGAGGAAGCTGAGAAGCACAAGATTGTAGAGACGACTTCAGACGAGTCCTTGCTGGCTGCCGAGATGCTTACGGACGCTGTTGCAGCAACGGCGTTGCAAACAACCTGGGAAGTCTTTCAATCCCAGAACTCGGGTAGTATCAACACTATCGTCAACCCCATCCAGCTCGTCGTTGGCGAGCCCGAACTATCATTCCGAGGGATTTTCAACAACTTCATTCAAGAGCCCGACAGGAAACTTGCATCACGCTCTTTGCCCCCAAAGGCGAGTGCGAACAAGACTCTCGGAGAATCGCCGCTGCCAGAACGAATCCTAATCCACTCACCTGAGATAATGAAAGCTCTAAGTGAGGCCTGCGAGGATTCATTCATTGGCAGACAAAGCACCACGTTCCTTCGGCCCTTCAAGATGTTTACTTACTACGAGCAAACGATTCGAGATCATGCAGCGAAGCTCGAAGTCAGTTATGCGAGCAATGCCAATGTCACCTCTGAAGCTGAACCTGTCACACCTGTCGAGACTAAGCACACCTCAGAAGGCGATAGTGGCGAACTAGCCAAGTCTGAAGAAGCGTCCTCGGTTCTACCTCAGGACGAAGCAGATTTGAAATGTCCTATCACACTGCTACATATTCGCTGCCTGACGAAGTTATTGGACGATACCGTATGCACAAGACGAGAGTATCTGGCAAGTACGGAATGTGAGAAGATCACATTCAGCGACATCTGGTATCTCTTCCAGCCAGGAGAGGAAGTCATCGACCAGGCTAATAAACAGGCCTACCGTGTGCTGCGCGTCTCGATGCCCAAGCACAAGGTCATTCCACCATACCTCTTTATACGAAATTCCAATTCAGAGAACGCTAAAGAGAAGCCAGCCATCATTCAGTGCCTCTACATAGACTTCGACGGAGAGAATCTTGGTCCTGTGACCAAAACCTTTGAGATACCTCGATTTGACACGGACAAACCAATCAAGTCGTTACCGATCTACCCTCTTCGGATGATCAGGGAGGACGGATTCCGCGAAAGGCTGATGGAAAGAGGCAAGATGCTGTGGGACGTGATCCAGGTCAAGCCAATGTATTACAAAGGTAATGTTATCGACACAAGGCAGGATGCTGACAGCCAAGTCATGATCGACTTTACTGAAGCCCTAGCATATGCGCACGAACATAACAAGGATTGGAAGCCGAAAGTTGACTTCATCAGCACATCGACTGAGGAGAGCAAGACAGATGACACAACTAGCGACTGCGATGCCATCTGTTGCCGAGGTCAATACGTTTTCGACGACTCATTTGTCGAAGACAGTCTGACTGAGGATTTCATCGCTAAACTATTCCCGCAATCTCCGACGGAACGCCGGTCACTCATTATATACCCACATGCATTAAAAGATTTACTTGAATCGAAGAGCACACCCGGCGCGGACGAGCTTGTAATCATGAGCTATAGAGTCTTCGGATTCCTCCTGAGAAACCGTCAATGGGGTAAGGACGTTTTCTTTGCTTTTCAAATTCCACTGTGCCTCTGACATTAGTCATCGTCGAGAAACTGATGCATTACGTCTTATCTAGCGCAACTTGACCTCACGTATCTGAAGGGCGAGAATGAGGATAGCAGAACCAGTGCCTTAGACGCCTTTGAGCGTCTGGTTCTTCCCGAAGGACACAAAGAGATGGTCAAGTCATTGGTGACACAACATTTCCGAGACAAGAAGGCCAGGGAGAAAATGGTTGACCGAAACCCCCACGCTGATGCGTCTTCTGATCTCATTCGAGGAAAAGGTAAGCATAGCATTGATTTTCGATCGATTGTATTTGTCAGAGAACTAAAATAGGGGCCCTGCTAGGACAAGGCCTCATCATTCTCCTTCACGGAGCCCCCGGTGTAGGGAAAACCACCACAGCAGGTTAGTCGTTTCCTACGGCAGCTTATCATACACGCTTCCATCCGACTTGACTTGACGGTCGCTAATGATATGAATCGATTATATAGAGGGCATGGCCGAAACCTTCAAGAAACCTCTTTTTCAGGTTACCTGCGGTGAGAATTCCACGGTTGAAATGCTATGAGTGAAATCTGACGCATATAGGCGATCTCGGAACGACCGCTTCAACGGTTCAGACAGAGTTGGAGAAGAACTTCACACTAGCCAGCAGATGGGACTGCATTCTTCTCTTGGATGAAGCTGAGGTCTTTCTTGCGTCTAGGGAGCGGAAAGACCTAACGAGGAATGGTCTCGTCGCGAGTAAGCTTGGCTATCATGCTCGCTCTGTACAAAGGCTCTGCTGACTGAAATGAACACAGTCTTCCTCCGAGTGTTGGAATACTACACCGGAATTTTGTTCCTTACAACTAATCGTGTCGGTGACTTCGATGAAGCCTTCGCTTCCCGAATCCATATGAGCCTCTATTACCCTAAGCTCGATCTCGACAAAACGCTGGATGTCTTCAGGCTGAACTTCGACCTTATCAAGAACAGATTCGATCTGAGACGTCGCAAAATCTTCCTCGACGAGGATTCAATCATTGACTTTGCGAAGAAGCATTTCGAGAGTAATGGAGACGACAAGAAGCAGGGCTTACGGTGGAACGGCCGCCAAATTCGCAATGCGTGCCAGACAGCACTTGCCATGGCTGAGTTCGATGCGCTCAATAGTGATCTGAGAGCTGACATCGATCCTTCCCCATTTGTGCATCTCAGACTCGATCATTTCCGCATCATTGAGAAGGCTTATGATGAATTCGCCATCTACCTCGGCGACGTCTATGGCGCTAACTTTGATGAGCGGGCCGCAGAAAACAAGATACGCTGATTAAGCAGACGTGACCAAGCAATTGGCGTAGGTGTTGGGAAGTCACTCAGATGTAGACATTCATTTTATCGAACGACTCGCAGGAGTTACAATACACGATGATCTATTAGAAACATGGTGTCCCTGGGGATGTTCTTTTGATCAAAATCATCTCCTCGGTGGAGGGTGTAATTCTACGAAAGCAAAATCCCACATACCTTTAAGAGGGAAATAACAAGTTCCTTAGAGCGACGGGTTTCATAAAGTACGCTGAACATAGCTTCAGAAGCGTGGTATTCCATTCGGACAGCCTCCAACGCCGTTACGGCGGCGGGATATAACGACGCCTCGTCTATCCAGTAGAGCTCCAGGCAAAACATCTCAATCCAGCTTTTCATATGTGGCCAGAGGTTCTCAATAGGGGAGAGATCAGAGCTATACGGCGGCTAGTGCATCACAGAAAGCCCTCGGTCTTCAAGCCAGTCCTTTATAACCCTCCCCATATGAGGGCCAGCATCAAGTGGATATAGGTAAACAGTAATTAAGGATCCCTATAGCCTGGCTAAAAGAACGAGACCTTACCGTAATTAATAAAACTATATAGATACTGTCGGCCTCGAAGTATGCGATGCAGCCACTACTAACTCACGCACCTTCCTTCCTCTGGTTCACCCAGCCACATCGCGGACCTTTTCATCCGATACCTTTGCTGCCTGCCACCCGAATACGCAACAAGCCCTCATATACCCCTCCAAGTCCAATTCCGTCACCAGCACAGCAGGCGCCCGTCTAGGTCGACGGGTCAGGTCAAACTGTGGCGTGGGTGGTGGAATGGTTAATGGTCAACAATCAAATCGCCAACCAGCCTACTCGACGACAGGCTCAGCGCATACGAGTACCCGAGTTCGAATCCCAGCATGAGCGCCAGAGATGTAGCCCCCAGTTCAGCACCGGGGGGGTGAACTCTTTTGCCATTTTGGGTCTTTTTTTGACATGTTCGTTATAGGGAAAGGAAAAAGCACGTATTTGTTTTTGTGGTATCTGTGTGCAAAGTCGTAATATATCGATCGCCATCATCATATCCCATACCTGCGCGCCCCAATGTTGAATCATCGGGTACAAACTGGCGATGTAATCTCTAGACGCTGCAAATCCAGCGAATTCATTCTCTCTCACACTGCCCCGATCTGCAAGCTTACCCACCATACTCAAATCACAATCATAGACAGCGTCAAACAACAAAAGAGAAAACATCAAAGCCCTTCAATACCATACGCCTTGATCGCGGTACCGCCAAACAGGGCCGCCTGGTCCTCTGGCTCGAGGGTAGCCATGTAGCAGGTGCGCTCGACAAGCAGCTTCCACTTGCGCCAGGCCTCGTCGACGCCGACGGTGCAGACGGGCCAGTCGGAGCCGAACATTGTGCGGCGGGTGCCAAAGGTGGCGAGGACGACGCCGAGCCAGGGGAAGATTGCCTCGAAGATTGCGTTGGGGTCCTGCTTCTTGAGGGAGTCGGGCATCTCGGAGAAGCCGCCCGAGAGCTTCATGTAGGTGTTTGAGCATTTGGAGAGGGCGTAGATTGCGGTGCGCCAGTGGACGAAGGAGGGGTCTGTTGTGTTTATGATGCCGAGGTCGGGTTTGCAGAGGTGGTCTGGTTAGGGTGTGTTTGTTAGCTCCTGGTTTTGAATGAAGGGCATGGGAGATAGTAGAGACAGGGAAGGGGGAGGACCGACTGATGACAAAGGTGACCTTCTCCTCCTCCGGAACACCCTCGTGAGCGCGCGAGATAATCTCCAACGCCTCGTCGAGCTGCTTGTTGCCGCGGCGGTGCTGGTCGACGCCCATATCAAAGACGAAGCCCCTCTTGCCCAGAAGCTTCAAGCTGTCGATGAAATCGTCCGTCAACCCCGCGCCGTGCGGCTTATCCTGCAACAGATACCGGAACCCGCGAATCTTCGGCCAGACGGCGTCGCCCGCAACAGTCTTGACGTGGTCGAGGTACTTCTCCATGGCGGCGGCGCCGGAGGGTAGAGGGGCCCAGGGGACGATGCCCAGACAGAGGCTGGCGTGGTCGGGGCTGTGACCCTCGCCGTCGCGCGGTTTGCCCTCGGCGATGCGGCGGAGCCAGGAGACCTCCATCAGGGGGAACTCCCAGCCGGACGCATCGCGGGCGCCGGCTTCGAGGTCGTGTTTGCGGTCTGTCTCGAGGAAGATGAAGCCTTTGAGGTTTGCGGGGGAGCCGGTGGCGGCGACGTAGTCTTCGACCGAGTGCTGCTTCGCGAGGGGGTTTTCGGGGGTCGCCCAGGCGAGGGTCTCGATTTCTTGCTCTGGGTAGAGGTGGATGTGGGAGTCGATGATGGGGTAGTCGGCGGCCATGGTGGGCTTTTGGGAATGCTTTGGAGGGGGGGGGGCTGCGTGCCGGTTCTGTTTTATGGGAGGTTGGCTGCTTTCTGGTGATTCAATTGATATTTTGCGTCTGAGACGGATGGGCCAAGAGTGAGGCTGAAGACGAAAAGTCCAGCGTCGTTTGTTGTAGGAGAACGCTCGAGCTAGGCCAGGAGAAGATGAGAGAGGAGAGACAGAAAGAGACGTGGAGTCCCCGCACCTATTTCTTTGACATCGCGGGGTTGTAACAGCGACACACACACCCTTGTCCTGACGCCCTAGTGCCCCACTGCCGGTCCCCCCCCCCCCCCTTTTCTGACGTTGTTGGATAGTGCTCCCCCCACCGCCTTTCTCCAGGGGATCTTTCCCCCGAGCACCGACCTCTCGGGGCATTTATGCGGAGAAGGGTGACGGACCACCTCCGGCGCGGACACCGAAGGCTTCTTGGACTCCGTCCCGGTCTGCCGGCGTAGACATCGCCCACTTGCCAATTTCGGCAATTCAAAGTTTACTACAACATTTCCGTCAAGACTTTGACCTCGAATACAGATTAATTCATTTACAAGAAATTTCCACTGGCATCATTCATATTTGTTCAAACTCATGTTCAAGGACGGGTACTGATCACGCTTGTCACGCAGCGGGTGCACAGTTGAGGTTGCGTTCAAATGATGGATAGATTCATATCGGCATCTATCCAAAGCCGCCTGTGGCGGTCATCTTAACTATCTACATGAATTCGCCTTCATGAAAAAAAGCAGCCATGCCCGGGGGCTTTCCAAAAGCCCAGCCCCCGGCAGCCGCTTGGAAACGGTCTCTTCCCCAGGAGCAGCGGATGCGCTGGCTCCTTTTCCAACCCCTGGAGTCTTGGTCTCTCGCATTCCTCCCCTATTATGAAAGGGAATACGAGGATGGCTCCGCTGTTGTCAAGTGAGGACATGACAAACGAAACGGTTGAGTTTGGTTCACGCGCGCGGCGGCCAAGCACCTCCGTCTACGGGACAGACGGCGGCGGCCACCGCGGCGCGGGGTCGCAGCATCGACCCACTTGGAACGAGGAGGCGGGCGGGCCCGAGACCGGCTCGGGTTCGCAACTGCCTTTCCTCGGTGGATGCAATGATTAGCACGTCGGCGAGCGCGGGGCAGTCGCGCGACGAAATGAATGTACGGGCCACATGGGGGCCTTCTATCTTCGTGTATTTGGTGGCTTTCCTTTCGGCGGTGGTTGTGGTCACTCCCATCCCAGGGCAGGATTGGAAGCTCTTCACCTGACGACGATGCCGTGGCGGCGGGTGGTGGAGGGAGCGTACTCCTCCTCCTCCTCGGACTCGGAGTCGGAGCAGTCGGAGCTGTCGTCGTAGCCGCAGCGTGCGCCGCCGCAGTCGATCTTGACGCGGTCGCCCTTGCGGGTGATGCCGTAGCGCTCGCAGGTGCAGGTGCTGACGTCGGAGCCGGGGGTGCTGTAGCCGGAGAGCGAGGAGCTGGGGCTGGAGCTGTCGGAGCGGTAGGAGAGGCTGGAGCCGGTGGAGGAGACGGGGGAGCCGGAGGCGGAGAAGTCGGTGACGATGTCCTCCTCGTCGAAGCCGGCGGCGCCGAAGCGGGCGGTGAGCTCCTCAATGGTCTCGTCGTCGCAGTAGTCGCTGTTGAGGATGTGCTGGGTGGCGTGGGGCGACATGGGCTTGGGGGCCTTGATCTGGGAGACGGAGAGGGGGCGTCCCTTGGGGATGTCGCGCGACGAGGAGCGGTGGCGGCTTGACTTGGAGTCCTTGTCCTTGGAGGAGTGGCGAGAGCTGCGGGACGAGGAGTGGGAAGAGGACTTTGAGGAAGACTTGGAGGAGCTGGTGCTGCTCGACTTGGAGCTGGACTTGCTGGAGGACTTTGAGCCGGCGGGGACGTCGAGGATGTTCAGCTCGCGGCCGGTGGTGGGCTCAACGGTGGAGGCGACGCTGGGGTTGTGGGCAACGTGGTAGCCGTCGATGATGTAGTAGTACCAGTAGCGGGAGCCGGCGGAGAGAGTGGAGCCGCCAAACTTGAAGGTGCCCTTCCATGAGCCGGACTTGGAGGAAGTCTTGTCCTTGGAGAGAGGGAGCTGGCCGACGTAGCCGTCCCAGGAACCGAGCAGGTGGACGGTCTTGACACCGGAGGAAACACGAAGGGAGAAGGAGAGTTGAGTGGACGACATTATTGCGGTATTTGACGTTTAAACGGGTGCTGCGATTAAGTGGTTTTGCTGAATAATGTGCGTTGAGCAAGAAATTCCAGATTTCCGTTACTAGGGGATAAGTTGACCGGCAACTTTGGTGGTGATGATTTGCAAAAAATTGGGTATTAGTTTGGAGTGTGAATTAAGATAGAGACCGGCTCTATGGAAAGAAGAAAGAACAAAAAAGGAGGAGAGGAAAAAACGAAGAACTGGAATTAGTTGTTTGATTGCTTGCTGAAGAGAGAAAGAGGAAAGGGAATCGAAGAGGATGGGATGCTTCCATTATATGGTTTGACGGGCCGTCCTAGGAGGCCCAGGAGAGGCCATGATTGAGGCCAACACCACCACCACATGTCTCCTCCACCTGTCTAGTGTGCGCTACCTCTGTGCTCCCGTCACCTTGTTGGTGGTGGTGGGCTGGGATACCTAGACAGCCACTCGAGATGCGGTGCTACTGGCGCCGGTTCATGGCTGGAGCAACGCAACGGGGAACTTGTTGCTCGTCAGCAAAAAGTGTGGACTGTGGAGCGTGCCGTACACAGTAGCGTGCAAAAAATCAAGCGTCAGTCGACTGGACGACCCAATGAGAGAAGAGCTAGGGAGGACGAGGCTTGTGGATGGTCGATGCAAGCAACCAATATCACACTGGTGATGAGCTTCGCGGGCAACGTCGAAAGGATCAGCCGGCCGGGGTTCCCCCTCGTCCAAGAATGGACACCCACACACAGCTGTGTACTGTGGTTGGCTGTGTGCCCTCTCTCCGAGGTATACTGGCAAATAGGAACGAAAGCAGCTTTTCTGTCGATGGGGGGACCATCGTAGCCGTCACCTCTCTCTCGTTGCCCGTTGCCTTAGTGGTGCTACCATAAGATGGCCGCCGGGATGGGCCATGTCTGCACGCTGGGCGGTTAAGCTGCATGGTGAGGGGAGCCTGGGAGAGGTGAGAGTTGAGAGAGAGGGAGGGGTTCTCTGGGCAGCCGTCAGCCAAAATAGAAGAGAAAAGTGGGATTGGTCGGGACTAAAGCGCGGTACGTCCCCACATTTCCACGTTCTCTCCGATCTTTGCGTGAGATGTGGGGCCGGTCGTGCTTTTCCGCTCGAATTGGGCGTCTAAATCCCTGCCATCATTGGCCAATAGCCCACGCCCATCGCTCTTCTGTGCCCGGTCGCTTATCACCCCATCGCCAACTTGTTGAAGTGATGTGCTGCAGGTCGAGCCAATCATGACTATGCGCGGGACGATGCAGGTTTGCGAAAGCATCACCACTCACAAGAAGGCTCCCGGCCCTCCTCAGTAGAATAGTCAAGAGCTGCCGTCTAGCTGCGATTGGCTCATCTTCGTGCCTGTGAGAGATGAGTAGAAAAGCCACATCTCTCAATTCTCGCATGGTATTCGCCCGTATGCCTATAGCCGCATCAAGCGGACAGTCAACTGGCATACTGCATCATGCAACGAGTCAATATGCATGCCGTCTGCATGTAAATGCGCGAGCTTTTTCTGAGATTGATGTCCTTCCTCATTGGAGTATCCGAATTGTCACTTGACGTCCCGTCCTCTTCCCAGCCGCTCGACCAGGGAAGAACCGAAGATCGCGCGAGTCGGAAGAAAGGGAAGAGCAAATATGATGCCAGAAGCCATGTTCCTGGTTCCCTGAGTGCCTGCCTGTGTGATGTGCAGACTGGTCTGCGTCCTCCGGTTTGCCAGCTGCTTCTCGTACCTGCCTAGACGTCGAACCACGGCAGGCTCTCTCTAGATCTAGCGATGCAGAAAATTCGAGGTCAGTCTCCGGCAATGTCAAGAGGGTTAAATGCCTTCGTAAGTGTAAGCCGGGACGATGGTAACGCCTAAAGACAATCCCCACAGACTTGGCCCAAAGGGCTGGAGGAGATCAAACACTACCGAGATCCGGAGCTGGAAAGGGCGCAGAAAACGGGGCAGCGTACTCTAAAGTGCGTGCTTCCCTCTGCCTTGTCTGCCGTGACACAGACTGGCAGCGTGGGCATTGCCCTGCGCGGTCTGGCCCTGTCAGTCGACATGGCCGATCGTGGTGCGGCCCGCCAAGTACAAACTGCCGTTCTCCGCCTTCGGTCGACATCCGCTGCGACTGCGTGACCCTTGAGCCACCCACACCTCGAGAAGATGATGGAGGTGAATTGTAGATACGGCATCAGTTTTTCCCCTTCTCAGTTCTCACCGTCCCTCTTCGGCATAGTATCCAAGGTGCGTCATACGGCTCCATGCGTCTCTAGTCTCGGCGGGTATGTGAGGTCCATCACACTGATGGACTATAGTCCCCGTTGAACGGAACGGCAAGCCCGCTCGTGGTATTTCCCTCATCGGATCTAGGATCTGGGATCTGGGCTGTAGAGATGCCTGCCGTGGTTCTGGAGCGCAACTATGCGAAAGGTCCATCGAGATTGTCACTCCATCAGATTAATCAGAAAGCGAAGAAAGGGCTGTGACAGGTCGCAAGACGGCGCCTCGTAAGCCGGCTGCGACTCTGGCATATCGGCCTTTTCCTTGATGCCGACAGATGTCTCACAAAGCGACTGCGAGCGTGAAGCGGTCTGACCTCAGAATGGTGAGATCGATGTCGGCTGACAAGCTGGGCGCTCAAGAGTGTTACGTGTGTTGCAGCATTACAACAGATTTGGTCTTTGGACGTTGTTTCTCAGGCGCTTGGCCACTGCCCAAGATCTGCAAAGGTGTGCTCAAGTCGAGGGTGTGCCGTTTGCCCGTGGTCTTTGTTGGTAGCGGGAAGACCTGGCGGGAAACAGCGGGGTTGCCCGTGAGAGGAACAAGCCATGTGGAGACTGGAAGCGGTGGTATCCACCTACAGTTGACATTCATCACGTGAACGGTCACATGATAGCGCGTTTCCCGTCAACGATCTTGCGACTATCTACTTTGGCGCGTCGCAACAAAGTCGCGTACGAAAGTTGCTACGTCGCCGGCCTGAGTCAACGATTCAAGGCAGCAGCCCCTCTTTCACCAACTCGGTCACTCAATCTAGCTAGACGTCCTCAAGGTAAAGCCCTGTTGAAAAGGTCGGATTACCAATCCATCAGCGAGAAGTCTTGCCGTTGTCATTGATAAACGCCATCGACGATCCAGTCTCCTTCAGTTCTTCAAAGATAATCTTTCCCATCCACAGACGTTCAAGATTCATCGGATACTCAAGTCAGAGTACCCCGGTTTTCACTATGGCTCAAACCGCATCACCAACCAAAGAGGAGCTCGTCTCCGAGGTGACAAAATACGTCGAGGCCTACATGGCAAAATACGACGCCTCCCACGACTTCGCCCACATCAAGCGCGTCGTCTCCCTCGCCCACCGCATCCACGCGCAATCTCCAGCTACAACCCCGGCCCTAGACAAACACACAATCACCCTCTCCGCCCTCCTCCACGACGTCGGCGACCGCAAGTACCTCCAGCCGGGCGAGGACGCATCCACCCTTGTCTCCACCCTCCTCAGCTCCCTCGGCGCCAGCCCCGACCTCGCCGCCCGCGTACAGACAATCTGCCTCGGCGTCAGCTACTCCAGCGAGATCAAGGATCCGGCGCGCGTACGGGCGCTGATTGCAGAGTACCCAGAGCTCGCTGTCGTGCAGGACGCCGACCGCCTCGATGCCATTGGCGCCGTGGGCATCGGGCGCTGCTTCACGTTTGGCGGCGCAAAGGGCGCGCGCAGCATGGACAACTCCATCGAGCACTTTGAGGAGAAGCTCGTCAGGTTGGAGGGGATGATGAAGACGGATGCTGGGAGGGAGATGGCGCGGGAGCGGACCCAGAGGCTTCTTACTTTTATGGAGTGGTGGCAGGACGAGGCTGGTCCTGTCAGTGCCTGAAAGGTCGATCTCGAGGAATTTGCACGTATATGACTTTCCCTTCGATTCAACTCGATACCCAGCTTCGTCTTTTGGAATATTACGGTCCATGTTTCAACGCGGACTATTACGATTACTCGAATAAGAATACTACATCCTTCAAATAAGCTCAACGGACCCGTCCCTCCTTGTCACTCAACTCAATTCCCTTCCTGCAACCCCATACCTCCCCTCCTCCTCTCCTCCTCGACAAGTCTCATCTGCTTCCGAGCCTGCCTGTACCGCCAAGCCCAGTCCACCGCCCCGATCAGCGGCAACACCAGCACGTCCATAACTCTGATGGAAGTCCGCAGCGTGAAGTCGTCGTGCACCCGCCGCCGCCCAAACGACGAGCAGAGCGTATTGACCCAAAACAGCGCCACCTCCCTCAGCAACTCGCGCCCTTCAAAGTTATAAAGAAACGCGAACCCGCTCCCGTCTTGCCACGGCAGCGTCTGGCCCCTCACCCTCTTCTCCACCACGGCGCTCCAGTCGTCGTCCCGCGCCAACATGAAGACGGCAACCGCCCCGCGGCGCATGAGCTGCCTGTTGGACCCGTCGCCGCCGTCAAACCAGAGGAGCGTCGCCACGAGGCAAGCCCAGGGTAGCCGGTCCCGTAAACGGAAATAGTAGAGAAAAGAGGCGTAGATATAGGCGACGCAGCAGGTGCTGACGAGGACGACGGTGACGTCGAGAGGTCCGCCGACGCCTGTGGTGGACAACAAGAAGAAGAGGACCATGAGCGGGTAGGTCGCCACGAGGAGACGGAGCTGGTTCGTGACGGAGACCCACCCTTCCCAGGCGATGGCGGTCAGGACCTCCCAGATGATTGCGGGGAGATCGCCGACGGCGCGGAGGAGCATGACCGATACGTGGGTCCCTCCTTTCGGAGGCCGTTGAAGCCCCATCGGTGGTCCGCCCCGTTGTCTCTTTTTTGCTTGTGGAGCGGGGGGGGGGGGGGGGGGGGGGGGGGGGGGGGGGGCGCGGGTGGTGCTTGTTGGGGGGGGGTTGGGCGGCCCGTGGGGGTCGCCTCTTTTTTTTTTTTTGTGGGGGGGGGGGGGGGGGGGGGGGGGGGAGTTGATATCCTCTTTCGTGTGAGGTTTGTTGGGTAGACCGGGGTTGCGATGCGGACTTTTTAGGACCGCGGGCCTTGTGAGTTGATTCGAGATGAAGGTGGTAGTATGAACTTGAGCCTCTCCAACTTCTCTCTTTCTTTCTTTTTTCTGCTCGAGGGGAGGGGGAGGAAGGGGGATTACCTTTGGGAAGCTGGCGCGGACTGGAAGGGGAACAGCTCAGCATGAGCGACCCAAGGATTGTGTGTCTTACCTTAGTTCCCTCCCTTAGCTTCAAATACGGACGGACCCCCCACGCAAACGCACCACAGGGGCGCCACAAAATATGATCCTAATCTCCAGAAATAAGGACCCAAGCGGATGATAAGGCTGGCTCTGGTACCCGTTTTTCTTAATAGCACAGTGACGTAGACAAAGAGCCAGGATCTTTGAATTTCTCGATGCCAGTCGGAAGTAAGCGGGCGTTGCCGAGTTATCCTTGACTTGGAGAGGAACTTTCACATCTCGTGTTGAAACCTTTTTTTTGGTAACTCCCATACTGTCTTCCCTTAACACGATACAGAATGGTTGGTTTGAGCTGCATGAAACGAAACTCGAATGTAAGCAAGAAAGCGGCGGGGAGCGGATCGGCCGGATGAGGAGGGTTGACATGTACGGTAGATCCTTGGGACGAGCTAGTCGGTGAGGATTCCAGAGGGCAGAGGCATCCCGCGTTGCTAGGGTTCTCGCCCTCTTTTTCTCATATGTGAGACAGCAATCTTGGCAACCTTCCAGAAAGATCGTATCACGACCGCATCAGGGTACTAGGTGAGATATGATTGACGCTGACGACGGCAGAGCAACGGCCTACGAAAGCGTCACCTGGGTTACTAGGTAGACAATTGATATCCGAAGAGTCGTCAAGTTGTAGATCAATCGCATTTTGGTGTTAGCTTTCTTAGGATGTGTTCCCGTTGATATGACTGAACAAGGAAACGATGTACTGCCAAACGGTAGCGGCATCTTGGGCACATTCCCTATTAAAGTTGCTGGAGCTGATCGAACCACCTCTTGACGCTCAAAAACCACCGACCACCGACCTACCAACAGCACCTGAGATGATGATCTCGGACTTCAAATACTCAGGGAATAAATTCCTCTTCTGTGGTGCATTCATCGCCGAAATCACTTCGCCCTCGTGTTCCTCTTACCAACGTCGCCAAAAAAGAATAGGCATGCTTTACACCTCTAGGACTACGTATCAAAATACCAAAACATCAAAAAAAGAATTAAATCGAAGCTGACGAGTTCACCCTCTCGGTGCTGAACTGAGGACTATATGTCTTGATGCTCATGCTGAGATTCGAACTCGGGTGCTCACGGTTGCGTTAGTAGGCACTCCGTACTTCCTGATCAGTCTGTATCTGTCAGATTTGAGTTCCCTAACGACTTGGACACAAGGGCTGATTTGGCAGCAGATGAGCTTTGATTGATATTATCGCAGCTATGTATACGTTCTCAATCCCATAGACTACGATATTTCTTCTCCTCTTAATCTTCCCAGTCAGAGGAGGAAACAGGCCCTTGGTATCCCTCAAGATATGACTTCACACAAGCAGCAAACCGGCCGCAAGAGCTATGACTGCGGCGGCACGAATGCTTTCTGACATGGGGTTCCCGGCATTCGGGGGCGTGGCGGTTGAAGTAGGGGTAGCCGAGCCCGTCCCCGTTGGTGAGGAAGTCGAGGAGTCCGGCAGGGCATTGGCGGACATTACGCGGTCCAAGATGTGGATGAGTCCGTTGTTGGTCCTGTCACAAGCCATCAGTTTCATTGCCTGGGTATCGTTGCTGGTCAGGTAGTTTCTATGCATTGTAGTACTCACAGGACGTTGGGGCTAATGACCTTGGCATCGTTGAACCAGATCTCGTTGTCCTTGATCGTGACGCGAACAGTCACGTTGGCCATCGAGGTGAATTCCTGGCCATCCACGAGGAAGTCGCTGTAAGCTGTCTGAGGTAGAGTGTGAAAACTGTTATTTGGGTCAGTCGAACGAGAGCTAGAGTCTGCATTCGTGGCTTGTGACTCACAGCAACGCGTTCTTGAGGTCTTCGTTTCCGAGAGAACTCTGGGGGCTGCCTGCCTCCTTGAAAGCAGCGGTGTTGGGTCCCAGGCACGTGATGTTGGCGGTATTGTCGAGTTGTCTCCATAGCTTGATCTTGTCCAATGCATCTCCGAGAGCCGATAGTGAGCTTGAGAGCTTCTTGATAGTGGTGGAACATACTGCCGGGGCTTCTAGAACACTGTGAGGTTATCAGCATGAGCCCCTTTTATGTAGGCGGAGGGTATCGACTCACGCATCGACAGATTGGAAATATCCGCCATCCCACACCCCATCGATCGATGTGAGCTCGGCAGTCTGACCAAGGCCACCGCGCAGGCTCGCGGTGTGATCATCGGAAGGGGTCCCTTGCCTAACTCTAAATTTGGTGGGATTAATGGTGCTCGGTGAAATAAAAAGCACCTGACCCTGAGCGTCTTCGCCGTACTGGTCGATGATGGCAGGTCCAGGTGTCCGAAGGTTGAAGAGCTCATCTCGAAGTTTGGTGGGGACTGTGATACCCCTGGACGCGCTGAAATTCGAGGCCGTCAACGGAGCATCCAGAGTATGGTATCGCAAGATGGTCAAGAGTTGGTTCACGGGAAGCTGCGTGATTTCGCTGACGTTGGACTGTTGAAGAAACTTGGCGAGGGCAACATTGGTCGGCACTAGGAGAGTAACTTTATTTTTCGTCACAGCGGTTATGTTGCTTATAATGCTCGGATAGCCGTTCAGAATTTCGTTGAACGTGGAGAGATCGGCGTGGCTTGTCAGCGCATTGCTGAGACTTTGCTGAGCCTGTCGTGAATGTAGAGACGGATCAACAGCACAAGCCAG